TTGAAACTTCACTCTTTATCTGTGCCCATACCAGTTCAATCGGGTTTAATTCACAATGATATGGTGGGGATCTAGGTACTGTCATTCCACGATTTTTGGCAATTTCATCAATTTCGTATTTTTTAAATTTTTCTTTATGAAGGGCACACAACGAATAAAGTTCCTTTCTTATAGATCCGGGATGGTACGTAATATTTTTTGAACTCAGCCAATTCTGCAAGTCTTTTTTTAACCACTTGGTTGTGGGTAGTCCTTCTATAAGTGATAACTTGCATTATCCATTACTATTACACAGTTCTTAGGAAGAAGATCTATCATTTGTTCAAACCATTCTTGAAAGACATCAGCGTTCATGTCTTCATGGTAGTCACCGGTACGAGTTGATTCAAAAGTTAATAAACCACCTTCAACTAAACCGTCTGAACTGCCAATGTGTACTATTATCAGCCTGCGTCCCTTTCCTGATGGTGGGTTTAAACCAGTAGATAAGTTATTTACAAAAGTGTGCCTTTGACTTGTAACAGTTTCATCCTGCCAAAATTTATTTGGTGTATGACCCTCGTTGATCCATGTTTCATCAAGATAAAATATTTTTCTTTTTTGGTTTCTCATTTCCTTTATGGTTCTTTGAAAATGTCTTCTCCATATGACAATATCGCTTCTTTCTAATAAAATAGACTTTCTGGGATTCTTTTTCCAGCGGAAGCCTATTTCTTTTAAAAGTTTCCATAACGTACTTCGACTCATTTCTGGGTAATCCTTATCATCTCGAACTGAGACAAGAACTTTATCCAATGTTGGAAATTCTTGTCTAAAGAAGAATTCATGCACTTTCCGTCGAAGTCCTTCTTTAAAATGATATTCTATTTGAAATTTTGGTTTCCCTGGAGCATTGCGTGGTATTTGAAAACTACCACATTTCTCTTCTTTAATAACTCTGTAAATCGTAGATTTCCCAACACCAGGTGTACTGCTAACTAACTCAACGGTCTCATCAACACTTTCACATAAACGTTTGTATGTAAATGATTTAAAACAATTAAATATTAATGTTTTTTCATTAACTGTTAAAGGGCCAATTTTTCGGCGTTTACACGGCACTTCCAAATTTTCCATAACACTAGTATACACAATAAACTGCACCTTGCAACTGAAGTACCTACTTTTAGTGAACTGTTAAGAATTTTGAATACGCCACTTGGACCTTCCTACAAAATGGAAAAGCCCACTATCACATTTTCTGTGGAATAAGTTTAGAAGGTAATTATCTAGTCAATTACTGTCGTAGATTCCTGGAATTAAAGAATTAAATGTTTGATTGTTGTAACCCTTACTTCGTGGAATGCACTCATTTCAGATAAAATAAAACGTTTTATTTTATATAAAGAATTAAATTTTATTTTGCAAATAGGTAAGTACTTATTAAACTTTTATTGGTTATATATAACCAATAAAATAAACATCTTACATTTCTTGCAAATTCATTAGTACCTGTTAACCTTCATCACTCTGACACTGGCAACCCTATTTAGGGATTAGTAACCCTCACAACTATTGTATTCTATTCTGCTCCAACCTTTATACCTGGTGGTCATACTCAATTTAAAATTGTTTTCCTATATACTTCTGTAAACTTGTTGACAAATATCTGTTTTTCATTGAGTCACCCGTATCAACAGTTTAGGGATTTGCATACATAATTATATTACTTTCTCATACATAAAAATACACTATAAGATACTATTTTAATTGGAATAAGCCACAATTAAAGGTTAAAATAAGTTCATTGACGTTTCAATTTCCACTTCGGAAATCGTTCTCAAAATACAAACATTAATATATTAAACAAATGTTGTTTTTTGTTTCTTGGTGAGAATTCACAAATACATTGTACATTTTAAAGTAGACGACTTTAAAATGATATAGCCAATATTGCTGAGTTGCGTTCCTGTGATGACTTTATTGTAAAACAGTTCATTCGATTACATGAAATTAACTCAAATTTTGAGAATATCCGTCAGAAAATAATCATACCATGCAATTCGTCTTTTAAAAAGACAATCACATGCCATGATGAGAGTAAAACTCTCATGTTAGTAATTCCATAGTAAATCATGAGGAAAAAAACCTTTAAAGAACCCCATAATACTATCCCGACATGGTAAGTAATTGATGTTATATTTACTATACTCTCAATTAACACCAAATTCTGATTTTATATGTTACGTTATTTAAAAAACATAAATGATGTATCCTCGATATGTTACTGATTTAGTAATACTAGTATTTTCCTTTTATTTTCTATATATTCTGTTTCTATTTCTATTCTATTTATTCTATGTTTTATTAAATTTCTCTTTTATTATAGGTAACCAGATCCTACTGCATTCCGCGAATATTCCGTTGCTCACCAATATAATCAATGCATCTCTTGCGCTGAGCTACTTTCCTATTCCTTGGAAGGTGGCCAGGACTGTCATGATCCCTAAGAAAGGGAAAACCCTCACCAACCCTGAATCGTACAGACCAATTTCACTACTGAGCACCCTAGGTAAAGTCTACGAGAGGATCCTTAAGGAGAGACTCGTAGAATTCCTAGACGCTCACTTCCTTATTCTAAATTACCAATTCGGATTCAGGGCAGGACACTCCACACAAAATGCATTGGTTGAAGCAACAACTTTCATTTCGCAATCCAGTAACGAAAGGAAGCACGTCGTAGGCATTTTCCTCGATGTCCAGAAGGCTTTCGATCAAGTCTGGCACGCAGGCTTGATCGAGAAACTCCACCTTGCTGGACTGTCAACACCTTTCGTTAAACTAATAAATTCCTATCTCTTCACGAGGTAGCATCAAATAGCTACCACTCCCTTCCCCTTCACTCCACAAGCGGGAGTACCCCTTGGCTCAATCCTTGCTCCAATATTATACACAGTCTACAATAGCGACATCCCCTGCCCACGGCAAGGATCAGAGTCTCTTCTCCTATTCGCTGATGATACAGCCATTCTCACCTTAGGCTCTTGCAGAGAGGGAGAGCAACGGTCTGTATTCGATAAATCGCAAGCCTACCTTGATAGAGTCGTGAGGTGGTGCAACAAATGGAGGGTCACCTTAAACCCCTCCAAAACTCAAGCTATAGTCTTCAGACCTCCTTACGGACGCGACCTCCAGGGCCGGGTGATACTTTTGGGAGAGGACCTTATTCTCAGGAACTCAGTTCTCTACTTGGGAGTTCGTTTTACGAGAACTCTCAATTGGAAGGCTGACGTCCATGAATCCCTTGATAGAATGAGAAGGAGGTTTAATCTCCTGAAAGTGCTAACCGGAAAGTTAGGAAGAACCTCTAATACATTGTTACACACCTACAAGGCTTTTATCAGACCGATAATTGAGTACAAGGCATGCGTTTACCTTTCTCTGAAGAGCCACGAACTCAACGCCATCACTGCCACCGAGCGTAGAATTCTGCGCTACTGTATGAGAAAAGATTGGTTGTATCCATCAGCCCACATATACGCACTAACTAACATCATGCCAATTAAGGACAGAATCCTAACCCTCAGTAGGAAGTATGTCCTAAGAACCATAGCTGGCTCGAACAACCGAGCAAAACAAACAGTAAAGACACCTTGTTCGCATAGAGGGCAAATACTCACCAGCCACCCTGCTAAGAAAGTTCCATTCCCTCCAGCTAAACTTCTACACAACGCAGGACCCGAACTTTCTGATGAGTATTTCGATATTCTTGAAACTTTCCCCATCTACTATCGCAGATAGACTGCGCGCCAAAAACGCTGATAAAGAGCCGTTCCTACCGTATGGCTGGTAACCCCTGAAGTACCTTACACTGCATGCTAGGCAATTCCAACTTCTTCTTGTGCGTTCTATCGATTCTTATCGATCACACAAATAACCATCTTCTTTTCCCTCTTTTCCTTAGTAGTTCTCTACTTCTTAGCTCGCGTTTCGCTTAATTGACGTTTTTCTCACACCCCCTACAAGTCCGTCAAAAAAAAGGAGTTTCCCGTTCCTTGAAGAGGCGCAAGCCTAAACTCAAGAGTCGCAAGGTTAAAACTCAAGAGTCAATTGGTCTCGTTTAGCATAATTAGAGCATTAAAATAGTAATTATTTTAAATGTCACTAAAAAATAGCTTCAGAAAGAACCACTTTAACCTTTAACAGTTGCATCTTCTTCTTCTTCTTAGTCGTTAACTTGATGCAGGTATCGTGATATCATGAAAAGTTGCATATCATAATAGTTGCATACAGACATTTTTTTAAGAGAATGACACTTTACGAGGTATATTTAAGCGTTAGTAATTAAAAAATAAAAACATTCGCAATTTCTTAAAATTAATTTGATGGCGGTAACCCCCTCTGTGGCTCAGTGGTAAAAGCGCCTGCCTTTAAACCTAAAGGTCGTGAGTTCGAATCCCACCTGGGTGGAAATTTTCGTTTATTAAAAAAATTAACAAAAGAAAATAATTTCTATCCTTGTGTGATCGGTACACACCGGAGGGACCGCAGACGTTCGGATACAATTAGCGTCTCTTAGCAAAGACAATGACGTCGACTTTGCTAAGTATCAAGACAATTACTCTACACACACAAACACACACTACATTAATAAACTTATCGTGATTGAGACTGGCTGAATGACAATTGTCCAAGCCAAAACACACAAAAAAAAAATTGATGGCGGTGTCGATTTGACGGCACGTCACCAGTTGCGTAACAACTGTGGTACGTCACCAGTTAAGGGTTAATATAATATAAATAAACTTGTATCTGAAATTAATTTGTTTTAAAAGCGGTAATAACTCTGGCTCCACCTGTTGGAGATCTTCACAAAAAGACTTCTTTCGTGTGGACACTTTGTCAATTGTGTCATAAGGTTCTTATTTTTTTCAGTTCATTGTGCATTTAGATTTACTATTAAATAGCTTTTTTTATTTTTTATGCAAAAACAAAATATAAAAATATTGCACACAACTTACCTTTGCCTGCTGAGCTTGAATATAGTTGTCAGGACCTCCTCCAATACTACCCCTGCAACCATAGAAATCTTAATTAAGGAGTAAATAAGGTCCAAGAATAACAAAAGTTTAAAAAAACTTATTGTAGAAAGTGCATGCAAAACCTTTTTAAGATAAAATAAGGTTTCACAAAATAACATTCATAGATATAAAAATTTTTTATTAAAAAACCTTTATAAAAGGTATATATTTAAAAACCTAACGGGCTAATTAAACAGAACTTGAGAACAGAGTTGCTTCCATACAGTCCTTGTAGACACACCGTCTCAGGACTAGCAACTTCAACGTGGAGTCATATGTCGCCATGTTACCTTATCCAACGGTAACTTTAACATCATAACATATTATAAGAAATATTGTATACCAAATGTAACTAATTATTTGTTAACGGGTTTTTACCCATATATTTAAAGGCTACATTCATGTACTTCTAGACACTGACGATGGAATATGGATTCCGAAAACGTTCTGTTTAATTAGCCCGTTAGGGTTTTTATAAAGGCTTTTTAATAAAAATTTTTTAATGTGGTATACAGCCAACTACAGGAACGTAGATTCCTTGTAGATATTCATAGATATCTTAATAGTATTGCTAAAACTTTTTGCCAGATGAAATAAAACGCCTTCACTTGTTATCGTCTAAGACTAAAATCAAATCACACTTTTTGAAACATTGTTTCTATGCAAAAAAAGAGTACTTGAGTACGTCTTTTACTTAATAGTACTAGTTTGGTCAGGGTATTTGCCTATTATGATAATATTTCATGTTTTTATATTTTTATTTAGTGTGTTTATCTATATAAATTTTTAATATTAACCCTGGTACATCACACTTATTTTTTAAGGCATGAACTTCACACTCGGGTCTCAGAAACCCAAAGCTGTTTTTTAGTAAAAAAACAGAAAATGTGAATATTTGATGGATTTGGGAGAATATCTAATCTTAGTAGAATGTGTAGAAAAAAATTCAACCATGGTGTGGTATTTCACAAAGAGATATATTTGTTGAAATTCAAGAATAACATTAAATAAGATTCAAACATAAATCATTGTTATTAAAACAAATAAACATTAAATGGAAATTATCATCTACAAAATACACCTGTATAACTATCCACCTGCGTCCCCATTTGATTTGAACATAATGCAGATATTCGCACCTACAGCTGACAAGGAGGAAACAATAATGGAAGACTTCTACGAACAACTAGAAATCTTAATGAATGCAACCAAAAAGAATGAAATAACACTTATAATGGGAGATTTTAACGCGAAAGTAGGACGAGGTAAAACAGGAAAGGTAGTGGGAAATTTCGGACTTGGTGAAAGAAACGAAAGAGGAGATCGTCTAGTTCAATTTTGCCAAGAACACAACCTAGTACTTACTAACACTCTCTTTAAGCTTCCGCACCGTAGACTCTATACCTGGAAATCACCGGCAGACTCACCCGGTAAAATAATCAGAAATCAAATAGATTATATCGCTACACCAATCAGGTTTAGAAACTCCATCAAAGCCGTAAAAACTTACCCGGGTTCGGACGTAGCATCAGATCACTGATATGTAAGTTTAAAGTAAAGTTAAAAAGCCAAATGTAAAGAACAGGCCCGAAACGCTAGATATTAGGAAGCTTTCCAACAATAATATTACACAACAGATGCAGGAGAATCCTGCATCTAAATTTAAAATCCAAAAATCCTTCAAAATAACAATGAACCGATGGAAAAGTGGACTGAAATTAAAAAAGAGATTAGGACTTCAAGCACTAAGTTTTTACTAGCTGATAAGAGAAAAAAGAAAGACTGGATGACTGCAGAAATCCTTGACATGACGGAAGAGAGACGGATATATAAAACTAAAGATACTGCCAAATACCGTGAAACCCATAGACGAATAAGAGCTGAGATAAGAAAAACTAAAGAGAAATGGTTCTCGGAGAGATGCGAAGAAATCGAACAGTGCGAAAAGGTATACGATTATCACAATATGCATAAGAAGATAAAGGAGCTCACAAAAAAGAAAAGCTACAATATTTTATCGAAAGGGCTGTGCGATGAGAATGGAAATCTACAACTAGACCCCGACAAAATAGTTAGAATTTGGGAAACTTATGTGGAACAACTGTTTAATGATGACCGTCGTAGTGGGTATACACTGAGCAATGATGATACTGGCCCTTCTATTCTAAAATCAGAAGTGGAGAATGCTATAAAGGGTCTTAAAAATAACAAAAGACCAGGCAACGATAACGTATACGGGGAAGTATTGAAAATGCTGTGCGAAACAAACTGTCAATTTCTAGACTCACTCGTCAGACTCTTTAACAATATTTATAGCAGCGGGGAGTTTCCTGAAGACTGGCTAAAGTCAACTTTTGTTGCCGTACCGAAAAAACCAAAAGCAAAGTCTTGTGATCAACATCGGATGATAAGTCTAATTAACTACATTTCGAAGGCATACACCAAGGTTATTTACAACAGAATAAGCAAAAAATGCGAGCATAACATTGGGGATTCGCAGTTTGGGTTTCGGAATTCTCTTGGGACAAGAGAAGCACTTTTTAGTCTACAGGTACTCATCCAGCGCTGCAGAGATATGAACAAAGACGTGTACATATGCTTTATAGACTACGCAAAAGCATTCGATAACGTAAAGCACGAAAAGATAATTGAAGTTCTATATAAGATCGGAGTCGACTACAGAGACATTCGAATAATAGCGAGTCTCTATTGGGGTCAAACAGCTAAAGTGAAAGTAGGATCTACATTGACCAATAAAATTGAGATCAAGAAAGGGGTACGACAGGGCTGTATATTGTCTCCTATTCTCTTCAATATCTACTCAGAAGAAGTATTTAAGACAGCGCTGGAGGAAAGCACAGAAGGCATAAAGATAAATGGAGAAATAATTAATAACATAAGGTATGCTGATGACACTGTGATTCTAGCAAGTAGCATGGAGAAACTGAGTTGCCTAATGAGTAAGATACAAAAAACAAGTGCACAATACGGACTCAGACTGAATATCACAAAAACCAAATGGATGTTAGTAAGCAAAACCCAACAACCACCACAGTAACTGATATCAGACAATTAAAGAATTGAACACGTGGATTCGTACATCTACTTGGGAACAACAGTTAACTCAAATTGGGATCAAGCGAAGGAAATACGTATAAGAGTAGAGAAGGCAAGAGCATCGTTCACTAGCATGAAGCAAATTTTCACCTTTAAAGCCTCACCCTACCTCTCAAAATTCGACTTCTGAAATGTTATGTATTCCCGGTTTTGTTATATGGAATGGAGGCGTGGACAATGACCGCAACATTGATGAAAAAAGTAGAGGCCTTCGAAATGTGGGCTTACCGACGTATATTACGTATATCCTAGACCGAGCACCTGACCAACGAAGAGGTACTATGTCGGATAGGTAAAGAGAGAGAGGTAGGAATAAGTATAAAGAAAATAAAGTTGGAATACTTGGGTCACGTTATGAGACATAATAAATATAGAGTACTACTGATCGTTCAAGGGAAAATAGATAGCAGAAGGGGTCCAGGGAGGAGAAGACACTCGTGGCTCCAAAACTTGCGGCAATGGTTCGGATTGTCATCTGCTGAACTATTCAGATCTGCCGTAAACAAAGTCAGAATAGCCATGTTGATTGCCAACGTTCGGAACGGACAAGGCACATGAAGAAGAAGAAGAATAACTATCCTTGTAACAAAAAAATAAACTCTTTTGGTAATATAAGTCTAAGTTATTCTTAGCCAGGTCTTCAGTTTCTTGGATCTTGATGTTCGCATTCACAGCATAGCTGGGCTCTATGTTCCATGCAATATGGTCTGCGATACTCAGAACACGCAAAACTGATTTTTCTATCTTTTTCTTTTGCACAAGAGCAGCATCTAACTTTTTTTGTTAAATGAACATCATGTTGTGGTGGGGGGACTTCATTTCCCAGAATTTCAGAAATTCTTTGCCGCAGAATAGAATGTGCATACGGTAAGTGAGGATAAGGAGGAACAATATTTTAACTCTTTACCAAAACGTTAAAGATAATAATTGGTGGCGTCAATGCAAATATTGAAAAAGAAGAAATATGTAAACCAGTAATAGGTAGTTTAAGCAATCACAAGTTTACAAATGATAACGGACAAAGAGTAGTAAACTTAGTAACAGAATGACTGCCTGTCATTTTTTTCAATCCATTTGTTTAATCACGAAACAATTCTATAAAGATAAACTGTGCAAAGTTTCAAGAAAACTGGTCGATTCGTTTTTGAGGACACGGAAAATCAAAGTTTCGATAAAAACTACTATATTTTTACATGAACTAAAAAGCATAAATAACTTTTTTGAAAATACAGAACCCATGTAATTCCTTAAACCAATTTGTTAAACTGTTTTTTCGGGCTGTTAGGTCATTGTCTTCTGATATTAGTTCTCGACGTTTCGCCAACACTAAGGGTTGATATCTTCTGGAGATGTTAATGCTTCACTTGTAAGCATAAACTAACGCTGTGTTGTACTACGGAGGCAATATTTATATTTCCCACTCGCCTCCCCTTCACGTATCTAAACCATTCCCTTGGCTTGTATGCTGAGTCCATTATCCTCTTCTCTGATAAGGAATGAGGAAAAAATGCTCCATGAAAAAGTTGACTACGACCGGGCTTAGTGGGCTTCCCATTGCTACTCCATCCATCTGTTCATAAATCTGGTTTTCCCATGAAAAGTATGTTTTAGTGAGGCAAATACGGTATAATTCCACCATATCCTTGGAAACTAGTCCCTCAATTAAATTTAGAACGTCTTCTAGGGACTCTTGTAAATAGGGAAACCACATCATAGCTAACGAGAATGTCAGATTCCTGCAAAGTTATTCCTTTGATCTTCTCAATGAAATGGGCGGAGTCTTTTACCAGATGGGAAGCGGAGAATATTGGATACTATTTGAAGAAACATAGATGCTGGACAAAACTTCACAGTACTACCCACGGTTGTATCGGTAAGCGGTGGAAATATATAAGCACCCAAATAATTTTAATCGGATAGAAGAAGGACTGAAAATTATCAAGACATGGATACCAATATTAAAATCCACAAACGGCCTTCCCGCCAAAAACGAAGAAAGAAAAGCTTCTACAAAAAACGACACGCCCCCTCAAGCCGAATCCAGTGGAGGGGAGGCGAGTGGGAAATATAAATATTGCCTCTGTTCTCGGACGCGACTAGTTCGCGCTCGAGACGCATCGCCCCGCCCCTCATTTTTCCTATTGGTCCCTGACCTGGAAATATCTATTTATCGCTACTTCAGCGTGTATAAAAATAGGCGATTTTCAGGTCAACCAGGTCAGTCCTTCACGGGCTCTCCGAGAGCTTAGTGCTCTCGGGGCTCTGCTTTCTTTTTTAGCTTTTTCCCATACTCTGTGGCTGAGTATTATTATTCAACTGAATATTTGGTGATTTTATTTCGACAACCTTAATATCTTTGTCATGTAAGAAATATCTTGCCTTTGTCAAGGCAAGCTACCGAAGACTACAACCTGATGTTTATTTCGACTTTCTTAGTTGTAAGTCATGTAAGAAATAGCTCGTCTTTTTCAAGACGAGCCCATCAGAAGAGAACTTCACAAGTCTATATCCTGTAAATAGACTTGGGTAGAGGTGTTTTCGTTGACGTCTCCGAAGCTCTCTACAGAGCACCCGGAGACAATAGAAGGATTCTAGACCCCTATTTGTTCCCCCGCGGTGACACCTCTGTAATACAACACAGCGTCAGTTTATGCTTACAAGCGAAGCATTAACATCTCCAGAAGTTGCCAAACCCCTAGTGTTGGCGAAACGTCGAGAACTAATCTCAGAAGACAACGGCCTAACAGTACGAAAAAACAGTTTAACAAGTTAGACGATGGCCGTGAAAGCCTAACGCAGTTAATCCTTAAACCAAGTTTGCTTCACTTAATCTTTGAATCCAGAGAAAAACGTAATAACATAAATAAAAGAAAAAAGAACCAGTAGTAAAAATAAGACATAAACTATGCAAAGAGTGTTTTTTTAGATACCTACATTTTTTGTGGCTGCCTATAAACCATTGGACCATAGTTTCCTTGAGCACTCCCATGAGCTACATCTACCTCGTTTTCGTATCCGTACATTTTATCCAGAAAAGGACTCCATATCTGAGTAGATCCGCCCAATATATCATCTATATTCGTATGTTTTGAAATAAAGAGTTGTGCTTTTTGATTAATATTTGAATAACTTCCGGGAACGTTATCGTACGGACTTTGCCTTCCTTCTTCTTCTTCTTTAGGCATCTCCAATCCTTCTGGACTAGCTCTGTCTCCAAGAGGGAGAATATCTTCGTTTTGATTATCGTCTTGGTTTCCTTCTAACCACCAAGGTGTTTCTTCGAAATCCTGATGCCTAATAGCAAACTTGGGTTGAACTTTTTTTACGTCTTCCTGGGCGTGCACCATCTCCGGTATATTTTCAGAACTGTTTATCCACCAAGCACGTTCGCCAGAATCGATATGTCTTAGTTTATGTTGTTCTAAATATTCCGGATCCATGGCGGTCATAGGATTACAAGGCTTTTGTTTTTGTTTACCACTGGATTCTGTATTAGTTTTGTCACTGTTTGAAAGCCACCAAGAACTCTCGTCTGATTCGTTTTTGCGAATCTTGTAAATTACTCTTCCGTCCTGAGTAGTGCCATCCTCTTTCACCCAATTCGGATACGTTTCAACACCTTCTGGTATTTCAGCACTTTCATCTAACCACCAAGGCAACTCGCCTGAAGAATTGTGTTTAATTGAACGTATTGAAGACTCAGAGGGTGGACACAGCTTATTTTCCTCCAAAGAGTTGTTGCTTAAATTGCAATTTTCACTTAAACCCTCACTGTTTAAATCTCTAGTTTGCAAACCGGAACCCTCAGAAATTTCCTCACTATTGCTTTGTAGCCACCAAGGATTTTCTCCAGATTCGACCCTGTGAATAATAATTTTTGCAGGTATGGGCTCAATAGCTCTACTTATGTTTGCACTTAATATATTTGTGTCATGACCACTATCATTGTTACTCTCAGAACTGGGATCTAACCAACCAGCTTTTTCTCCAGAACTGGACTGTTTTACTTTAAACAAATTAGTAACTGGACCCAAGGCTCGCATAAGGAACGATTTAGCTTCAGCTTCATTCTTAATGTCGGATTTATTTCTAGGACTTTGCGGTGGTTTTAGACATTTCTCTGAGGAAAGTTCGTCAGCCGAAGAAACATTCACGGACGTTCTAGACGAACCAGCGCTGTGAAGTTTCTTTTTTTCTTTTTTACTCTTCACGTCGTCTTCACTTCCACTGGTAGTTGCGCTTATACTAGCTTCTGAACTAGGTGATCTTCTACTTATAGCTGATTTTTCGTCAGCCTTTGACATTTTTGAATGATATGATTTACAAGTGGCTAAATTTTCTGAAACATCTGTAGCATCAGGATCGCCAGCGTCAGAATCTGCTGAACTTGCTGAATGACTACGCCTACCAAGTTTTTTACTCGATTTTCCATCTGGATTCATATTAAGAACTGATTTTCGGAAATCTTTGTTAGCAGGATTTAAGGAATGTAAAGAATTAGTCTTAGTTTCGACTTTTGGAATTTGAGGTGGAAGTTGTTTTTTGTCATTGTTTTGTTTTGAAGGTAACTTCGATTTAGGCGGTGATTTAGTTTCTTTCGGCTTATCGTGCTTAACGCAAGAATGGTAAATGCTTTTTGTGGAGCTCTCTCTAGATATACTCTTAGGACTTTCACTCGACTCATCAGTCTTATTCGAATTATCAGATTTACTAGATTTTTGTTTTGATGTAGGACTCGAAAACTTCATATCTAAAAACGAAGACCAAGGCGTAGAAGATATTCTAGATGCTCCAACAAACCTGGACATTTTTGTTGAATCATCCATTCTATCTGATTGTATTTCCTTATCCACCATCGTGTGAACTGGTTTTTTTGGTTTAGTCACTTGCTTTTCAACGGTCTTAGCTATATCTACTCTTCTGCTGCGCAAAAAGCTGTTAGGTTGGGACATCTGAGTTGGAGATGTTCCTCTAGTAACAACTGTAATAGTTACCATCTCGATTTCTTTTTTGGGCGATTCTCTTTTAACAGGAATTGTGGTTTTGTTTATTTCTATTTTGGGTTTAATATCTTCTGGTGTTACTGACGAGCATCTGCTTGGTGATCTACTCATTCTTCCTTGTTCTTGCTGAGCATGTAAAACGTTTAGAATCTCCCTATTTTTTCTACTTGTTTCACTAGTTCTTGTAGAAGACGGTCTTGAATATGCCGTGTAACTTTTTTCAACTGTGTTCTTGGGTAGAAACCTACTGTTTATATATTTTTGCGAACCAGACGAAGATAGATCTTCTCGCGAAGATGCCCGGCTGCCTATCTTATATCTAGAGGAAATTGGTTCGTCTTTAGATATAGATGATCTTCCTGAGTATTTGGGAACTTCGTCTTTTGTAATGGATGTTCGGCCAACATATCTACTAGGTGTATCTTCTTTTGTAGTAGAACTCCTTCCAACGTATTTTGGAATGGTAGTGGTAGATCCAATCGACTCAGTTCTTTCTCTACTTACCGACCTTTGATAAGGTCTAGGGTATAATTTGTTATAATTGTAACTTGATGAAGACGAAGAACTTTTCTCGGATTTTTCTACTGGACTCGGATCACGTGATCTAGATCCTGTTCTTGCCAATGGTCTATACGTTACAGGTGGATGACTGGTGTCTTTCTTATCCAATAACGGCTTAATTCTGGTTTCTGTTCTTCCGGTATAACCTAAAAATGAAAATTGCATACAATTAGAATAATAATTTTTAAACTAAATATAACGTTTATTATTTAAAAACTCAGCTGTTTCAGTTCCAAATAAAATTACACTTAAAAGCTTAATAGGTTAAAAACTTATAACACGTAGGTTAGAAAAATGTATGCTTCTCAATAAGGCAGTAACAAAGTAACAAAAAATCTTTGTAGATGTACTAACAGGTATCGCTTATGTTAAATTTTATAATTGATACGATTCAATATCCTTAGACAGTATACACTCAGTAGGATACTTAATGGATATTGATGTAGAATCTACAAGGCTGTTTTCCCTACAAGGATCACTTGAAGATCCTCTTCAAGTGTCTCTTTACAATCAACAAGCAATATTTTTCATCATCAACCGCTAACAAAATAAAACAAGTGGTATTTCCAAACGCCAAATACCGGCAAATAAAAGTCATAGGCGTATCATAAATAATTGATCGTGATGTATAAAATATTTAATCGTGATACAGGATGGACATAGACAATCCCTTCTTAAATTCAAACAAAGTGAGCAGATCTCCGCCGAGATGTCCAACTTCAGAAAAACACATTGCTAATCTGCAAATAACTACCATGCAACAACCATCGAGCAACAGAACCTTGTCTAGCGAACAACAAAGCAATGTAAATTGCTCAACCAATATACTACTCCAAGAGACAGAGTCAACTGAGAACCAACATGAACAACCAGGTAACTCTTTTCTTTCTAATCATGCTTCTTCTTCTTCTTCTTATCTACCGTCACAAATATACATCTCTACTCCACAAGATAGCCAAGAAAACCAAGAACATGAATGGAAAACTGTTCAAGCCCACAAACGAGCAAGAAATGACAGCCCTGGAGGTGATAAACAACTAAAACAAACAATAATGAGCGATTACTGGCTCAAAGCACCCACACCAACGTCTAATAGATTTGCTAGCTTAGATGAAGTACCTGATGAGACCAACCAAACCAAAACTGATGCAGTTAAAGAAACTATTCAACCCCCACCCATATTTGCTTCAGATGTAGGTGATATACAACCTCTTCGACAACTGTTAGAAACAATATCCCCTCTGGGATATTCCATCAAATGTCTCTACAACGACCAAGTAAAGATCCAGCCCTCAACTTCTGAATATTACCGAATCATAACCAAAGCACTCAATGAGAAAAAAACACATTATTACACCTACCAAAAAAAGGAAGAAAGAACATTCCGAGTTGTGCTTCGTAATATGCATCAGACAGCAGATAAAGACGCTTTAGTACATGAGCTGGGATTAATGGGACACGAAGTAACCAACATAGCTAATATATATAAGAATGGATCAAAAATAGCGCTTCTGCTCTTTTATATAGAATTAAAAACTAAGCCAAATAATAAAGACATATATGATGTGAGAGCACTCCAGAACATGATTGTGTCCTTCGAACCACCATATCCCAAACGTCAGGTTCCCCAATGTACCAAATGTCAACGCTACGGTCACACACAAAAATTCTGCCATATGCCTCCAAGATGCGTAAAGTGTGCAAGTAATCATCTTACTTTACACTGTCCACGAAAAGAACGCAGCAATAACGTAAAATGTGTACTTTGTAACGGAAACCATCCGGCCAACTATAAGGGCTGCAGCGTATACAAACAAATACAAAAAGAAAAATTCCCCCAACTCAGAAAGAATCAAGAGACCCATAGAACAGACACCTATGAAACTAATAGTCAAAGAGTAACCCCTGGTGTTTCTTACGCTCAAAAAACTTCAGGAAATAGTCAAGAGGATGAAATCACAAATCAACAAACTAATGTCGGCTCAAACCATTCAACGAAAATTGCCAACCTTGAAAACCTGATGACAAAACTAGTAGAGAGAATGGACACCATGCTTAATCTTCTTATGACTATGATTTCCAAAATGCACTAATGCAACACAGACTTAAAATAGCCGTCTGGAATTCAAATGGCCTAACGAACCACATCCAAGAAATAAAAATTTTCCTCGACGAGAAGAAAATTGATGTTATGCTTGTATCAGAAGCTCATCTAACAGACAAAAACTATATAAAAATTCCAAAATACATTGTCTACTACACAAAACATCCAAATGACAAGGCACACGGTGGCACAGCTATCATTATCAAATCTAATATAAAACACCATGAGTTAAATAAGTTCAGTGAAAAGTACCTGCAATCAACTAGCATTGTCATCGAAGACTGGTTAGGCAACCTTACCTTATCTGCGGTTTACTGTCCTCCTGGTCAACCAATCAACGAAAACAACTTTAGCACCTATTTTAGTTCTCTTGGACACAAATTCATAGCAGGAGGAGACTTTAACTGTAAACATCATCACTGGGGCTCTAGGATAATTACAACAAGGGGTAGACAACTGCTGAAGTCAATAACAGGAAACAACCTACAACACATATCTACAGGAGAACCAACTTATTGGCCTACAGATCCAAATAAAACACCAGATCTCTTAGACTTCTGTGTGATTAAAGGTATCTCTCTTAACTACTTAGCAATAGAATCATGCTGGGACCTCTCTTCAGATCATTCTCCCATTCTAATTGACCTAGACTCCAAAATCATACTCAGAAATAAGCCTCCAGTCCTAACCAATAATCAAACAAATTGGAAAATATTCCGAAGCGCACTAGCAGAACAAATACCAACGAACTTGCCACTTAAAACAGAATTACAAATTGAAA